AAAATATATCCCACCAACGCCTCGATCTACCATCGAGCAATTCGAAACATAGACTGATGACTCTATAGCTGTTATTATTAATCCTATAACAATACATTAAAATATTTTCATTGAATTGTCAAGTCCTTTTTGTAAACCGTACTTTCTGTGTTTTGCATCATTGAATTTGTTTACTATGATTAATTCGCAGTAATTATTTCACTTCTTTCACACATTTCCGACGATTTGAATTACTCATACGATATTGGATGAATTTTCAATTGATAAAGCATTAATAGAATTAGTTGAACGAAACGAGATAAAAATTGATTTAAAGATTAATCTGATATGAAGCTCTTTTGATTGAAATACGAGTTCTATTTCAAACATAGCAGTAAGAGTATATAGGCTACGAAAAGTAATTGTTGGTCAGTTATTGAAGAGTTTCGAAAATTAGATACTAATTAATACAAGACAGAACCCATCAGTTATTATGCAACGGATTCAAGGGAGGCAGCAGAAAGACAGTCTAGATGCGTAAATGAGACATGATCACCTTCGATTCGACTAAGGCTTCAGAAGAGGTAGTTTTTTTGGATAAGTTCTTTTCCTTTGCATATATATATATATTAAAATATTGGCTTTAAAAGTTCACAATTAATTAAACTTAATTTTGCGAATAACTTCCTAACCTTATGATGGAAAATTTCAAGAATTATGAGAATAGATTCTATGTCATAGTTTATACCTATGATGACATTGTCAGTAAGACCAAACTCCAAAAAATAGCTTCTCAAAATGCCGGTCTTCCACAGATCTGTTATTGTATCAGAGCAAGAGCTGTTGTTTTCATATCTTATGATAATCCAAAAGAAGGCTTGCCACCATTTAGAATTAACTTTACTTTGTGTAGAGATTTTATGGTCTAAAAAGTCCCCTACAGAATGCATTATTTAGTTATCGAAAGTACTATTTGCACGTGTAGGATTTGTAAATTGAAATGTACACTGTGAAAAAGTCTGTTAATTTTGTTTCATATCGCTAATGCTGATTTTTTAACAATAATGCGATAGAATAAAGATCTATAGGATTGCGTTTCTCATGATATGTAGAGTCACTTAATATACATGTGTTACATAAAAGTGAGTTAAAAAATGACTAAGTTCAGAGATGTAAGCATTTTTTTGTAATTGCTTTGAAGATTAGATTTAAACTCAGATCTATTTGAAAGTTTTTCGCATGAGGAAATTTTCATGATCATCTTTTCTTTAAAAATTATTCATTAAATCGGCATTGCGATACAATCTATATGAAGATTAGAACGAGTTGAAAACTAGTATTTCGGAGCGTGAGTGAGCATGTCTGTAATTGAAGGAAAGATCTTCATCTTCATATGCATGTCCAAGAAGATCGATATACTAATTTTGGATACTTAAAAGCTTACCAAGCCTAGGTTTTCAGCGACTCGAAGAACTTTTCTAGTTATTTTCGCACATATATTTTAGATCATCTATTTCCACGAGTTTGACCAAGGATCCAAATTCAAATTTTCTTACAATAAAGTTCAAATACTTCATAACGCGTCAGATATCACTGAAGTATGAAAATTCTGGTTTTTTGTTCTTTGATTGATTGTGAAACTTTCAATTATTTGGTGTCCCTTGTGCGCTTGCATTTTTTTTCATGTATCGATATCAAAATATAAGAATTAAAGCAAAAACACTAAGATTTGGGCTATAATTTGGTTTTATTCCAGTTAGGATCGTTTATAGAAGTCACTGAAATAAACAGTATGAAAAGACATTTGAGAAAATAATTAGAAAACTCTTCGAATACAATGCATCTTTATCGATACATATTTCTAAAATTGTCTTTTCAGAAAATAATTTTCGTTACTAGTAACCAATAACAATAACTTCTCATCCCTATCCGAAATAGATGATTTGATTAAAAATAGAATCTAACCAAAATATATATTCCTATTTTATGCATACCTTGAAATATCAAACATTGATCTATGCACAATTCCTAACATAATAAACACCCAACTTGAGATTAACACAATAGTACTACAACAATTTTCTTCATTCCTGATTAGAAAAGGAATATTTCAGTAATAATACTTCTCCGTTTTAGTCATATGAATCTATTGTTATTCAAAAAACTTTGAAAAAAAAACAACTAACTGCACTCGTTATTGATTTATTGAGATTACATTCGTCACACTTAAATTCTGATACTGATTTAAATTGTTATGAGAAGTCAAACAAAAGTACTACAGTCAAAACTTGATCGTTTTACGCTCGGACAAGCCAACAAACTTGTTTAATGAATCATGAAAGAGTAGTTGTTTTTCTTTTCTCTTTTCTATTCCGTTGTCATACGCATCTAGATGAATGTTTAAGAACACAAATTCAGCGAGCACTATTTATTAAGACATAATCAGACTATCATTTTTCAATTCGACTATTCATTCTATCGATCAATTCTACAAGGATGAAAATCCCCTGACAGTCTTGCCTAGAGTGCAGTGTTTACTTTATTAACACGTAACCATTGAGCTACAAGAAATGTTATTAATGACATGTATCTAATGCTTGTGCTTGCTGAATTTTGAAAGACATGGAGAGATCGTACCGAATGTCTTGAGACTATTGATAGGCAATAGCATCGCGCTCAATGTCCTTCGACAATGAAAAGATTTGAAACGATGAAAGCTAAATGAAAAGTGTTGTCCGTATGTTTTGTACGAGTAATTGCTAATTATGAAACACTTTTCTGATTACTATGTAAGCAGGATCTATGATTAGATGCTATTTATCGTTCAAGCTAGTACTCCCTACATATGTGTCGATGTATTAATTCATAAGAAATTTCTTTTTATTGGAAGGTTATTACACAGCTACTGTTTATTTTCCAGAAAGACAAAAGTATTAACTGTATTTAATTGTTGTCTATGCATGAGAGATTATTATAAGTTGCGGAGAAAATTATTGAAAGTAAATAGTGACTTGCGTTCGGATCAATACTATCTTTATCATAAAATCAAAGTCACCTCGATTAACAATATCATGGCCATTTTCATTGAAAGACAACTTTTCCTAAACGAACCGTTAAAGAAAACGACTTTCTTCATAGTTGAACGCCCCAATTCTCTAAAAATGATTAATTAACCAGTCTTCTTATTAGTTGATTAGAAAGAAAATTACACAGATATATAGAGCACAAAAGATAACGCGTAAATAATTAGTGATTAATTGGCTTAAGAACAAAAAAAATGGAAAGCAAGGGTACTGAATAGAATGGTATGTAGTAAAGTTGAAACAAAACATAGTTCGTTACGTATCTTCAATATCAATTTTCAGTATTAAAATAAGCATTTGTATCGTGATTTTTTTAAACGAGTTTCTTATGAGAGCTGCTCTATATTGAATTACATATTTCATCAATATGCATGCCAGATAGGTAGATAATCTTTATAGGCAGATCGTACACGTTTGTAATAATCGAGTACCAATTTAGGTTGATTAAGATGTTCATAACTTTCACCGATGCGAGAAAAACTTTGATCAATTTCTATTCGAGTCATTGGTAAAAATTCCGTATGTAACAGGCAACTATTCATTTCATATGCTAAAGAGAGTTCATAAAAATGTCCATTTCTTTGACTTTGGTCTAAATATTTCTCTAATACATAAACATTCTTCTAAATATTCAATAGCACAATCAAAATCTTGCTTTGTATTCGCAATAATCACTATCGTTTCTAGACAACTAGCTATTTCAACATAGATCAATTATGTCCCCTATATCTTTGAGATTTTGGACAATGATGGAGTGTACAAATGGGCTATTTTTCTTTCGAATTTTTAATGCTCTCTGTTGTATATCTAGAGCTTCATTGTACTTTCTTCGCATATTGCAAAATCAAACTAATATTACCCAATGTAATAGCCATGCTCTCATATTCAAAAGCATAATCTATTTCGTAGTGTGTTATTGCCTTTTGATAGAAGTCAAAAGCTTCATCATATTTAACTCGTAGACACATTGTGTTACCCATATCACCTAGAGTTCTACCAATATTTGCATGGCTACATGGATTACATTTCTCTCTTATCCCTAATGCTTGTTGTTCATATTCAAACGCTTTATCGTATTGCTTTTGATTGCTGAAAATGCTTGCAATAGAATTCAGACACGAACCTGTACTAGCATGACTATCTGGATATAATCTTTCATAGATTTTTAATGCTTTGGGCTTCAATGCGAGAGCATCATCGTACTTTGTTTGCTGCTGTAGAACATAACTGATGTCTTGTAGGTTATCAGCAATTGCAGCTAGATCAGATGGACAGAATTGTTCTCTGATGGAAAGCACTTTTTGATAGACTTCGCTAGCTTTATCATACTCGTTTAGGTGCACTTGAACATTAGCAATGTTTCTAAGATCATTCGCAATTTGTTGATAATTTGATGAATAATGTTCTTCTCTAATCGCTAATGCTCGCTGTCGATAGAAAAGCGCTTCATTGTATTTTTCTTGATCACAAAGTATATGAGCAATACTATTCAGAATAGTAATGTTATTATTGTAGTTAGATGAATGGAGCTTTTCAAAGATTGTTAACGCTTGTTGATAGTTGTAAACAGTTTCATCGCATCCCTTTTTATTCTCGGAGGACAATACTAATGTTGTTGAGAATTCTGACAATTTCTAGGCGATTTGATGGACGATGGATTTCTCGTATATTGAGTGCTCTTTCTTGAAATTCATATGCGTTAACATATTTACCTGGACTACACAAAGTAAGACTAATCAATATGTAACCAGTGGCTATTTCACAATGATCAGATGGCAAACATTCTTCTTTGATCAATAGTGCACGTTGTTGATATTCAAGAGCATCTTCTTTCTTATCTTGTAAATATAGAACATTACCAATTTTGCTTAAGCTGTAAGCAATGTGTAATTGATTCGAAGGATAATTGCTTCCAAGTTTCACAAGTAATGAATGTGATTATTCATAAAATTCACATGCTTCATCATACTTCTTTTCATCTTGCAGTAACCAACCGATTTCATTGAGCGTTGTAGCAATATTCACATATCCTGAAGGATAATATTTCTCCTGAATTTCTAAAGCTTTCTAAAGATTTAACATGGCTTCATAATATTTTTCTGACGGCGGAGCACATTACCAACGCTGACAAGAGCATCAGCAATATTGGGATGATCAGAACCATACCAGCACTTTTGATTTTCTAATGCTCTTTGAAAGTAATCTATGACTATATCGAATTTTTTTTTGATTATTAAGAGTCAAACTGATAAGAATTAAACAATAAGAAATATCACCAAGAGAATATGGACAGTATTGTTTTTTGAGCATCGCAAACGCTTGCTGGTAGCATTTCAATGCTTCATCAATTTTTTCTTGTTGGTTTAATATATCACCTAGGTTTTCAAATGTACAAACTATATTTACATAGCCCGTTGGATAGTAGTTCTTTTGCATCATCAATGCTTGCTTATGATGGCATAAAGCCTCTTCGTATTCCACTTGGTAGCTTAGAACATTTTCGATAAGAGTAACTGTATATGCTACGCTGGCTTGATATGATGGATAATATTTCTCATGCATAGCAAGTGCTCGACGATGATAATCTATAGCATCATTAAGCTGTTCTAATCTACAAAGAAGATAATGAATGTTATTCAAAAGACAGTTAAGATCAGGATGACCAGAAAATAGGTATTGTTTTAGTATTGCCAACGATTGCTGTTGGAATTCTAAAGCAGATTCATATTTTCCTTGTTCAGAGTAAATATGACCCATAGTAGAAAAAATGTAAGCGATAATCATATAATCAACTGGATAACGTTTCTTTTCTATTGCTACTGCTTGACGATGAATATCGATAGCTTCATTATATTTCTCTTCTCGATGAAGAATGTCTGACATGTTGTTAAGTGCCAATGCAACGCACTGATGACTTAAATGATAGTATTTTTCGTAGATTGCTAACGATCTGCAATGAAAATCGAGAGCTTTATTGTAATTTTTGGATGTGGGTGTGGGTACAGTGGGTGTGGTTGTCGGTGCTTGTTTCTCTGTATCGCCGGACTCACACCCATATCCACACCAACAAAACAAAAGTGCAAATAAATCTATATAAAAAAAAATTAGGAATATTATCTTCATCATTCTCAAGCATATTTGCTGTTTGATAGGTTCTTTTTTGTTGAAAAATATTAGTATGTGAAATCCTTCGTTCATTGTTCATTTTTATTATATGATACAAAGACAAGCTCACTTGCATCATATAGACAATATTTTCAAGCTAATTAATATCAACAGAAACAATACATCTAGTAGACGGAATTTTTTTTATATTATATAAAATCATCATCAACTTGATCAACTCGTCGAAAAATACTGCAAACAGAATATGGATTTTTATAAAACAAAAAAATAACAATATACACATTTGCATCACTTACTTTATCATTATTTTCTTATACATTTTTCTTTATTTCTTCTTCCCATTGATTCTCTGAATTTTCTACTCATTTTATTTGATGATGATAAATAAGTTTATGCTTTTTGTATTGTTGAATTCATACCTGCTGATGATCATTCAATAGATTGTTGTTTATCAAAAATTTATCTCAATCTACATTAGATCTAGAAGGGGATCCGGACAGTTGCTCGACGGACAGTTGCTCGACGGACAGTTGCGCGCGGACGGTTGCTCGACGGACGGTTGCTCGATAGGACACTTGCTCGACGGACGGTTGCTCGATAGGACACTTGCTCGCGAATGACATGATCGCTTAATTTTCAGTATAGTAATTCAAGACAAAATTGACTGAACTGATTAGTCTATGTGTAGCGCACACTGACGGTCATTATCTTACACGGCTATACAATTTGGTTCAAAATCCACATACAGACGTCGAAGATCAGTTAAAATATATCGGACGTTTATTATCTTTGTAAAGTGCTTTTTTTGTTTTCTGTTGTTCATTTAGTATTGCTGTTATTATAAAACATCTTCATATATTTCATTCATGTACTTATTTCGATATGCGCGAGCAAGTGTCCTAGCGAGCAACTGTCCTAGCGAGCAACTGTCCTAGCGAGCAACTGTCCTAGCGAGCATCTGTCCTATCGAGCAACTGTCCGTCGAGCAACTGTCCGCGCGCAACTGTCCGTCGAGCAACTGTCCGTCGAGCAACTGTCCTAAACCCATCTAGAAGATGATGTAAGTTTAAATAATATTAATTTTATATATTATGAAAAATTAATATTAATATTAGTACATGATGAATCACTTGGATAATAAAAATCAAGTTCGAACGAATAATTATTACTAGATGATGGTATATTAATATCAATATTGAGTTAAAATAAAATATTAACTTATTTGTATCTGTTGATTTAACTTTTATTTATTTTTTTTTTATCATCTTCAATAGGAATTTGGATAATGACGACATTATCTATTTGATGAAATGTATATCTAAGAGATATAAATCATAATTAGTTTAGAAAGAATATTATTCTTAGAACTATAGAAATTAATTAATTGACATGGAAATAATTAGCTTTTTGACACGTAACAATTGACTCATCTTCTAAATAATAACTAAATTAGATAGATTTAGTTTTAAAAAGAAAAATCGTGCTCGATGAATTTAATTCATTACTATCCTAAAAGATGAAACTGAAATGCTTTCATTGTACTAATACAAAATACGTAAAGTAAAAAATAGCTAATATATGATAGTTGCTTTCCAAGCATAATTGATTACTAGAGAACCGATCTGTCTGATTTATTTCTGCATTTTGAACAGAAATTTTTTATTTTATTTCTCTTTGTTCTCTTGTTGTTATTTATTTTCTACTTTTCGTTATTATTCTAACCATTGATTTCAGTGAGAAATAAGTCTGTTGTATACGTCCATCTATATCTACAGTAGGTTTCAACGCACTATTATGTGTTCCGATAAACTCAAAAACAGTGATATTGTTTATTTTCAAAAGTTAGAACTTGATCAATTCATGCTTCTTATGTTGGACATATGATGATTATAACAAATTAATACATTATTAATCATCATTTTGAAAAAAAAAAACTATCTTATTATAATTTAAACTTGAAAATAAACGAATATTATGTACAGTACTTTGAACACATATTCAAATTATTTCGAATACTTTACAATCTAATCAATTTTAAAGAACATAAATCGACAATCATAGTTAAAAAGTAACTGTAATACTTTGTATTTTCATGTATTTCTTTCTAATTGAATATAATTTGGTACTTGTCGTATAAAAAAGTGCAGATCTTTACCAGTTGAAGAGCCACTCAATACACCTTTTGATATGAAATAGTCAAAATTACAAAAATGTGAATACAATACGTTCAAATATATAAAAACAAGAATAATATGTAGTCAACTCTTGACATTTATTCTTAATTTTTCCGAATACTTCATATTATCATTTTAATCGGCGAACAACATTAAGAACAGTAACAACTTACAGGTATATCGATATAAATTTATAAGATGGTACTATTTTCATAATTATGATACAATAAACCACATTTAGCCGTCAATTATGAGGAGAAAACCATATTTTCTCATGATACTGTATGCTTTTGAATATTGAACTTCAACAAAGGTGAGTTTCAAGAATACGCACAATTTTAAGTATCTTTTAATTTCTCCCTCTGATACCAGTTGTTTTTTAGTTAAAAAAATAGCGAAATGATTGTTATTCTACTATTCAATTCATTTTCTTATGGAGTCTAATTATTGTTCAGTTGTTGTACAACATAGTACAAATACTCAAAAATTACTTTATATCATCTTCTGCTTTTTTTGGACTCAAATACGGACCAGTCGAAACAGAATGATCTGTTTAGTGATTTTAGACTAGTGTATACTAGGATTGATATTTTCTCAAGTACATAGAAGAATCTTTGATAACTTTTTGCTCATAAAAAGTATCATTTTTCATTCAAATGTTGCAAGTTGAGAAATGTTCAAGCTACAAACAGACATCTTTAGTTGGGATTTTTCGTTTTTTCAGACAGGATATAGATTGTATCAAAGCAATGCCTTGAACAAGAAATCAAGTAATTGATTTTAGAAAAGTAATGTGGTTTAATTAAGGCAGGAAAACTTTAATCAAATATGTAATTTTGTAACCAAACATTTCTGAACTAGATCGCGTTTTACTTACAGTCATACTCTTTATGTGAAAAAAAGTTACAGCTGATTTTCTCAATGAATTCAGAAAATGGTCTGCCTACCTGTGATTCTAGACTAATCAACTTATTTTTCTTCGGTCACTTTTGATTACATATAGAATAATCAAACATCACTCTGCTCTTTGGACTGTTTAAAATTATCTCAATCGGTAATTAGATCGTAGTCTGCTGCCTCATGTCGGATATTGTCGGCCATATACTCGAATCCATTCTTTATCTCTTTTATTCGTCGCTTTTGTGTTCCGGTGAGTAGTCTGGACATTTGAATAAATAGATAAAATGAATTAGACATGATGAATGTAAGCGTATTCTGGACTAGTCTAAACATAGCTGCAGGACATTTCTCATAAAGACAATCGATTATAATGAATAGGCTTGACATTTCATAGTTGACGTGACAGATAATGTGCATATCCGACTAGTCAAGTCGGACGTCCTCATTCATTTTTCGTTTACTTGGGACATTATATATATCCTGAACTGCTAGCAAAACGAAATCACTATTTTGATAAAATAATGTCTTCACCGTGTGCTATCGACACCTGCAAACGTAAATCACGCCCTAGTGAAGGTACTCATAGGCGAGTACTCAAAAAGTACTCACGCTAGAAAATGTCACGAGTACTCATAGGTTTTGAGTACTCAACAGCCGTACTCATGCTAGAATCTGAGTATCTGAGTACGACGATCGAGTACTCGCTGTGTAATATTAAGTGTTTGGTGAGTACTCCTATCTAGTTTCTGTGTACTCTGCTCGCCTAATGTAAAATACTCATAAGCATATCTTTTGGTTAGTACCGTTGTACTACATCAATTTTTATTTAATATTAGAATATTACAAAAACCACAACCGTACACAATGAAAATTTGAGTAAAATGGTCGAAATGAGAACCACAACTTTGACATTAGCTTCACATATTTTAGCGTAAAGAATATGGCCATAGCAATCTTCATCATTAGTGAAGAAAGTTAAATTTTTTCTTTGGTTTTCTACAATAAAAATACGATTTTATTGATTCTTTTCTTTCCTCTTTCAAAAAATAAATAAAATCGTATTTCATTATGTAAAAAAAAATAGAAAATAGTTAATTATTTTCTCTAATAATGAAAATTTCTTTAGCTATATCTTGAATACAGAGTACAATAAAACACGAATTAAGGGCAGTAAAATACAGTGAAGGAGAAAAAAAAAATTAATCACTGATAATAAGAAATGTGATAGTAAATAAACGGACAGTATTGCTAGTTATACAAAAAATTTAAACAGATATTTTTACATTCGTAACTATCTACATTTATGCGGGAATCCACAAAAAAATAAATACAGAATAAAATTGTTTGTCGGTAGTGTATTCATGCATCTTCTTGTTTTAAAATTGCGATCGATTTATAATAAAAGTCATTAGTCGTCTTCCTTTGCATAGCATTTGATAGTCAGTTTGAAAAACTATATTTTAACGGAAGATTTTTTATCTAAATTTACAAAATAAAATTAAAGCGAATCTACATTCATATGTTTAAAAAAATTCAATCTCACCTAAGTTAACAAATGAAAACGAAAACTCGTTTTTTCTCTTTCTGAACATCACCATTTATCTTAGTCGTATAGATGACTCATCAAAATGAATAGAGGATCGAGTAAATAAGTCAATAAAACAATTTTTCTCGGGCTTTCAT